GAAGTGAAAGGTCAAATTACAGGAAGATCAAGAAATTTAATTATAATAAGTAATATCAAATAATAAAACTAATGGCATTTCTAAAGTGTGGTATGAATATACTGCTTTATTGTGCAGCTAAATTATGTTGAAATTATTAAAACTTTATTAATGTGAGTAATTCAGAGATATTAACCCCATCAAGATGAGTAACCCTTTTCTGCACAAGTTGCTGTGCTATCTTTCAAAATTTAATTAAACATTTATAATATCAATGTATTGAATGAAATTATCATTATAGCATATGTCATGATTCGAAGTTTTATGTCCTTTATTTCAAAAGAAAGCTTTAAAAACTATTTAAACTTTAGATGTATTGTCACATGACCAATGAACTATGAAAATTCTCTACTTTGGCTCTCTTTATCTTCAATAATACAATGGTAGTTGAGTAGAGGTACATCTAGACAATAAAATGCTTACATAACCTTTTGACTCTGAATGAATACAGTTGAAACAAGTAATGAATTTTTTAATTCCCGACAGCTTCCATGCCCTCTTGAACAGATTTTTTTAGCTTTATTGCCTACATGTAGATATTACATACCCATGTGTATGGTCATTGAAAATAAATCATTTCACACTCTAATCTAATATTGGTTATTTTGAAATTGGCTCACAGTTGTCATCAGTAATTATATGAAATTCACTGTAGTATTGTTGACCGCTTTATCAACTAAAACACATAGGGTTGTTTCTTACCTAAATATGTTATATTTAGAGATATAGTTAAATTGTATTTATGTTTTACTTTTATATTTTAGTTAATTGTGTATTAATTATGTTTTGAAATGCATAATTGAAAGGTTTAAAATTTTTTTAATATACACCGTACTTTGCGTCAGTTCTCAAGGCTTAAGATATTACACGGTGCATGAAAATTCTGCTGAAGGGTTGTGCATGTCTGTCAAACATTGTCAGACGTGTTGAGTTCAATAATAAATGGTAAAGGACAAGAACGAAAAATAAAATATTAAAAATTAACTATATATGAAAAGACCCAAAATTAGGAATATAAGTAAAACAACATCTGTAAAGATATTCTACAAAACATTAAAAGATATGTACTTTTTTTATTTCCTAATTTTAATTATTTCATTGCATGTTGATGATAATAGCTAGTTAGTGATATGATATAGTGAACAAAATGAAGAATAAAATATAAACATTTATTTTAAAAACTTTTGATATCCTTTTAGGAGGTTCTAGAGGTTATGCAAATGAAATATAAGATAAAGAAAAGTATTTTATACTTAAAATGAAAATCACCTTGCCCTCAACTTATTTTAACAGTGAGTGCAAATAACTACTACAGATAAATAACATTTTTATTAGAAAGACATATTTAGAATAATGTCATTCTTTGTGTACAAAATAACATAATATTTTGGGACCTATTGGTCGATCTCGGCTGTTCCATCCTCAAAACTAAATTAAAATGATTTAAAAACTTTTAAACCCAGCCCTTTTCATTCATATACTTATCAAGCTTTTTCTTAAACTCACTTACATTTACTGCCTCTGTGACATCTGAAGGCAACACATTCCAAAAGCCAACCACCGTGTCAGAAAAATGAGACTGTCTTAGCTGAAGATGACTCCTACCTTGCCAAAATTTATACTTGTGTCCCCTAGTCCTACTATTCTCATTGTTAAATATAAAAAAGATGATACATCAATACTATCAATTCTCTTTAAAATCTTAAAACATTTCAATCAGATCCCCCCCCCCCCCAACTCTTCTTTTTTCAAGAGAAAACAATTTCAGAGATCTCAACTTCTCGTCGTATGACAACCCCTCCATCCCAGGCACCATTCTAGTAACCTTTCCAACAATTCAATGTCTATCCTACGGTAAGGAGCCCAAGACTGAACATAATATTCCAAACGTGGCCTAAGCAGTGACCTATACAATGAAATTATAACCTCTTTAGATTTGTATTCAATATCTCTGTAAATACAACCTAAAATCCTATTTGCCCTACTACTAGCAACAGTTTGGATGGCTTTAGAGACTGATCAACTATTACACTAAGATCCCTTTCCTTCATAACACTATTAAGATTATTCCCATCCAAATTATACTTATAATTCAAATTATGATAACTCACATATATTATCTGCCATTTATTTGCCCAACTCCCTAAATGATCTAAATCCTTTACTAAATCAGCAGCACCCTCTTCACAGCTAGCAACACGCAAGACATTAATATCATCTGCAAATTTAAGTAATTTATTGACTATCCCTTCATTGCCATTGATCAAATCAAAAAGATCAAAGGTCCTAAGACTGAGCCCTGAGGTACCCCACTTGTGACATTAATCCAGTTTGACTGAACTCGATTTGTAACAACCCTCTGCTTTCTTCCATCCAGCCACTCTTCTATCCAATTTGCTAACTTATCCCCCTCACCTATAGAGCTAATTTTTTCAAGCCTTTTATGTGGCACCTTGTCAAATGCTCTCTGGAAATCCAGAAACACCAAATCTACACCCTTACCCTCATCTACATAAGCAGTAACCTTTTCAAAGAATGTTAAAAGGATTTGTAAGGCAAGATTTTCCCTTGGTGAAACCATATTGACTATCCAATAAAATTCTAAACTTTGTTAAATGACTTTGCAAACTATCTTTTAACAGACTTTCCAAAATTTTTCCCACAACTGATGTAAGACTAATGTGTCTATAATTACTGGGACAATTTTATTACCTCCCTTGAAAAGAGAAGTTACATTAGCTAACTTCCAATCCTCTGGTACCTGCCCACTATTCAAGAACTGACAAAAAATAGTTGCAAGTTGCTCACATATCCAATCTTTAACCTCCTTCGAGACCCTTGTGAAAATATCTGGCCCAGAAGCCTTATAATTTTTTAAGCTTCTCAATTTTTTCTTAACCAGCTCAGAATTAATGCAGTCATCTTGTTTGATCTCATTTCCATTTATCAACTGATCAAGATGTAGAATACTGCTTAAATCTTCATTAGTAAAAAACCGAATAAAAAGTAAAATTTAATAACCCTGCCATCTCATAATCATCAGATACTAGCCTTCCTTTATCATCCCTCAAGGGTCCTATCATAACATTTTATTTCCCCTTAATGTATTTAAAAAAATCCTTACTGTTAATTTTTACATTTTCAGCCAACTTTTTCTCATAAATCATTTTTAATGTTCTAATTTACTATTTCACAAACTTTCTTGATATTCTATAATCTTCAAAGTCTCCTGTCATACTGGTCAATTTAAATTTACAATGCTTTTCTTTAATTTTATTTCTTAAACTTTTTGTGAGCCAACCTGGTTTTTTACTTGTAGCTACCATTTTCTTTCTTCTGGGAATATGTTTACAGATAACTCTTTAAAATTTGTAACCAAAATATCATTATTCCTTATCTCCATATGCAGCAAAATATTGAACCTAATAGAGCAATGATTACTTGTATCCAGATGTTCCCCAATTTCCACCCTCTCAATCATTTCTGTATTTGAAGTTAATAATAAGTCTAAAATAGCATTGTTTCTAGTTGGTTCCTTGACTAACTGGTGAAGAAAGCCATCCTGACAGTTTCCAAATACCTTTCTCCCTCATGGTTTGATTCTAGAATTTCCCAATCTATATGCCTGAAATTAAAATCGCCCATAATTATGACTTCATTAACATCTGAAATCTTAATCTCATTGTAAAGTTTCTCACTAACTTCATTAGTATCATTTGGTGGTCTGTAACAAATTCCTACTAAAAGCCTTTTCCCTTTATATCCACTAATAGAAACCCAAATGGATTCAATCTCTTTGCTATTATCTTTGATATCCTTAACTTCAACAGGATGTAACTCACACTTTACATATAAAGCCACTCTTTAATTCTCTGTAACCCTGTATTTCAAAACAAATTTCTGTCATCAAAATCATCTATGTTTAACCATGTTTCAGTTATTCCCATTATATCAAAATCCTCCATTCCTACCAGTGCTCTAAGTCATCTATTTTATTCCTTATACTTCTAGCATTACAATAGTAACAATTAAGCCTATCCTTATAACTACTTCTATACTCATTTCCTGTGCTAAACTTTTCTCTGCCTCTTATTTTTTTTTGCATTCAGTTTTCCTGGCCCTCACCACTGTTTAGTTCTAGTTTAAGAATTCCCTTACATCTGAGTTAATAGCCTTAGCAAACAAGCCAGCCCCTACTCTATTTAAATGTAAACCATCCATTGCAAAAAGCTTCCTTCTCCCACTGAAATGATCCCACAAGTCCAACCAGCCAATCTGCTCATCCTTACATACTAACCTAAGCCTAACATTTAGCCCTAATTACCTACTTACAAGTTCATTCCCACAGTTAATTCTGGACAGTATCCCTGACAAAATTAAATTATGGACGTTTTCATTAAGTGCCTTTATCAACCCCTTATACTTATTAATTAGCTCCTCTGACCTACCTTCCCCTACATGCACTACAAAAACTGCATCTCTGCTAGCCCCTTTGTTACATCCTACTTCTGGGTAGCATAATCCGATTCTTTTCTCCCTATTTACCCCACAGACTATCCTATCCACATGCCTTATCAAGGAATCGCCTACAACTATATCCTCCTTATCATCCACATCATTCTCTGACCCTTTTGTTTTCCTTCCCTCCAATAGTTCCCCATCTGCAGAAGCCAAGGGCTGAAATTTGTTGCTCAACAGAATAGGCTCATAATTAAATTCACCACTTTTAGTCATTGTTAGCTGATGTTACAAGAATCTTACAAGGTTTTGTGAGGAACCATATATTTGTTGCATGAATGTCCTTCCCTACTCAAGCAGATGGTACTCTCATCTGCTCATGTTTAAAAGGTTGAACCTCTGTTTCTAGAATTCATTGTGTAAAACATCTTTTTGAACATCATGCAAACAAATGTGTAATGATAGATGTGTAATTGCATTTTATCATCAGATATCAACAAGGATCACAAGAATGAATTTCTTTATTGAAAACTGTACTGCATATTCAACATTCCCATACAGTATTGCACTCATCTGCAAAACTGACATGAAACTATTCTAACAATTTTTTTTACAAAGACTTGTTTCACTTCTTAGGTTAACAGAAGATTCATTTATTTGTTGTACAGATTATTAACAGGAATTCTCTACTTTCTGAAACCAAAATACCTTAAAAGAATACTACATTTTAACTCAAGTAAATATCTTGTTCCCTAAAATTTTCAATCTGTTAACCTATCTTCTATTACTTAATCTCTTTCTTGACTTTCTTTTTCCTGTTTTTTCAGATCCTCAATTCGTTCCTTATGCCTTTCTACTTCTTTTTCATGTTGTTTGATAAGTTTTTTTGTGATGTTCTATTTCCTCGTGCAGATGCGACTTCAGTTGACTGATCTGCTTATATTGCTATTTCCAATAAAGATATTAAAAACTGTTACTAGACAGTACATGCATCCTGATGTAATTTATACGTTTATATATTTGAAGGATTGTACAACTGCAGTGTAAAAGAGGTTCTTTTATATTTGAAAAGGCAATGAACAAAAAATATAGGTTATCTATCATAGTTTAAGATTTACTCTAACACCAAATAGCCAACTTAAAACAGTTATTAAGTTTGGTGACCAATTCAGCAAATTACAACAATTCTCATTCACTAGCCACTATCACACAAACATTTCACATTCTGCTCTGTTACAACTCAACTTATTATTGATTAAATTATATTTGATGCACATCAACAAGCTGGATGGTAACTTGTTAGTAGATTAAATGTCATATGTTTTCACATATTTAAAATTATTCGTGATGAGCTTAGCAGCATCACCATGGATAAGTGGTTAGGGGCAAAAATGAGAGCATAATATTTCTGGAGATTGTGTATGGGAGCACAATGTAATGAAAAATTAATAATTTAATCAAAGATTGTGTTAACAAAGAGTTCTACATTATATACATAGGAAATTTTAACAAAATGCAAAATAATAGCAGCACTGTATTTTGCAGTTGTAACAAGACTTACTGGATGAAATTATTAAGTTTTTATGTAATGTAATGTGAAAAACATCCACTGCTGAAAAAAAAAATGGTTGCATATATTCAAAACTCACAAGAGTTTGGTAACAGGGAGCAAATCAGCCTTTTGTTAGGCCACACACTCCCAGATACAAATTTAAACATTGCTGTCACCACAATAAAACTAGTTTGATCTAATCAGACTGGGTTTCCTTGTTACTTATTTCCTGTTGGGGTTTAAACTTTGTAGGTTAAAGCTAAAACAATTAATATTCTTACATCACACAATATATTAATGTTATATTAACTTTGTTTGACTTAAAGTTACTTTAGGACTATATATTTTTAATCCAAAATACTATATTATTCCAGTGAAATCTTGCTTATTTCATGCAAAAACACTTAAAATTTCCTCATAGTGTTACAAAGCTAACTTTTAAAAGATTGATGCGTATAATATCACCATTATAGATATAGAACATTACAGTGGCTGGCATGGGGAATTATACAGTATTGTTAATACAATAATACTATCTGAACAAACTTTCTAGTTTTATTCTTATTCATTCTGTATGATAATTATAATTACCAGAAGTTTTACTTTAGAAAATAACTTGATGTAAATCTAATTTTTATGTTGACTGTAAACTTAGAATATTTTAAGAATATAAAAAATATTAGGTTTAAACTAAGTAAACATTGACATAAAAAAATAAAACAAATTATAATTATTTGTTTTCCTGAGTTGGTTCCAAGGTATTTGAGTAAATGCACAGTTATAGCTACAATACTTCAAGCTCCAACATAGTTGTAAACATGCTTTTGAACATGTGAAGCAATACTGATCTGTTTGGAATAAAATGTTTGAAAAAGTGTACACAGTTTTCTTGTAATAGGTGACTGATAACTGAATAAATCTCATTGTTTATAATGTTTAACAATGTACAAGCTTAATGTATAGCTTTAAGGTATCCAGTACCCCATATATCACTGTGCATTTGCATGATATGCAGGTGTTAAGCATTGTAGGTGATGCACTTTGTCTGCATGTGAACTTCGTTAATCTGAAATCATGCTACATCAGTAGTGAACTATTTTGGAACAGTATGTTGTACAGTAGATACTACGGTTGAAAATAAAGATTTAGAACTTTTAAAACTTTTTTTTAAAGGCTAATACAATTTAATCAGAAGTTGCATTAAATTATGTTCTGATTAAATTTAATAGTAAATGGTATGGTGTAAATAATTTTGCACTTAAATATTATTTTACATTTATTTTTTAAAATAAAAAACAGTTCTAAGTCAAATATATAGCTTTTTAAAAACAAATACATTAAGAGTATTTTTGAATATGGAATGTACCTTTCAATGTATTTCAATTAACATCTAAACTAACATAGATGTACTGAACTGGTGGCAAAAATCAAGCTACTACTCTTGAGATGCATTTCATCACAACACAAACCATAAAAAAATTTACCTTACGTCCAACAAAAACAATTTATTCATCCTAGCCAAGAACTTCCAGCTAAGAGTGAAAGTAACCAATTAATTGTTTTTTTTTACTGGATTCAGATTCTTTGAACATATTTTTTTATTAATCAAACCTGATATCAATTAATTCACAAATATTTAAGTATATTTATATACTAATCAAATTACCCAACAGATGTGGTTAACTAAAAAGTATTGTGTTCCTTTCGACAGTTTGAGCATAAATAACCATGTACAGTTGCATCCAAACATATAAACAATTGATGTCCCTAAATAACTTTGGGTGCCTCTTAAACCATTGAAAAGTATTTTTCAAGAACTTCATTTTAATTGTATTTTTTCACACTTGATGTCTCTAGTTCTTTACGATATACTTACTACAGTTGAAAAAATTAACTGGTATACCTTATTACATAAACCAGATGTTCTCAGTTGTAGTTCTCACATCCAGAAATAAAAAGCATATTACAACATTAATAATTTATATAACCTTCTTTCTCTTTCAAGTTTTGGTCAGAAATTATGATATTGTTGTTGATTTGGCTAACAAGCTTATGAAAATTAGCTAAGTTTCCAAGAAATATTTAATAGGGTGTAAACCCCCAATACTTTTTAACAAGGGGAGTTCTATACAGACTGATTTTCAAAACATTTAAGTCCTTAAGAAGGAAATCTTGTTAAAATCACTTAGTTGGTAGTCCTCGCAATGTCTAGCCTGATTAAACTGTTACAGTGTAAGTAGATTTTAAACTAAAAAAAACATTGACAAAATAAAAATCAATTACATTTTTCTTCAACAATAAAAAAATATTAAGTTCTTTATACATACCAGAAGCTATTTCTTACATTTACAAAATTGCTTCTATAAAAGCTTTAACAAATATAACCTTTTATAAAAAGTGGTAATACAGTGACAATAAACTAGTTTCACAAACTAACAATTCATTTGGATGTTATATTTATAAGAATTAGTCAGCTCTTTTTTGTGTTACATACATAAAACAACCAATCTGGAATAGAACTCTTGTATAACTCTGTTATATTTATATACACACACACACACACCTGTAGTGCGAGAAATTTTAAAAAGTTTCCATATGAAGTTCTGAAATGATTATAAAAACAAGTTTTTTCACTGAATCTTTTTAAAATATAAACCACACCTCAGTTGTTTGTACCTTCATTAATATTCTATACTGAATGATAGTAATATTAAATAAAAAAAAATTAAATTTACTCTATTTCAAACTGTTTTTATGATAAGATGAGCACAGCAAACAATGTTTAATTTTACTTAACTTCTGCTAGCTCCATCAAAATATTACTTTCATGTTCATATTAAAATGACTGAAAAATATCACACTCTCCTATTATGATTTTATTAATACAACCGCACTTTTGAAAAAAATATTTTATATTTTGTAAGCTTTATTTTTAATATTCCAGATTATTCTAGATACGCTTTAGACGAGCGTATGTGTATAGGCTAAGTGTCTTCAATTTGTGAACATAGAAATTGTAATGTAAAATTGGCTAGTTCTAGTTATAATGCCTAACTATCTTCTAAACAGCTTCCTCACATGTATATATGATTTAAATGAATTATTTATATTCTGTTTGATGGCACAAAAATATATAATACATTTGTTCACTGCAATGATAATATTCTTTATAAATAAAAAAAAAAATACAACTAAATGAGAAACTAACAGCCTGTCCTCTTTTATTTGTAGGATTTTAGTACTAAATTTCCAAAAGGAACACAACTAGTATTTCTAGCAGCACAAACAGTCTGTAAGTATTCAGATTACATAATCAAGTGTAGAATGACATCTGAAAATCCACTTACAAGTTTTCTGAAGTACTCCTCTTCACGAGCTGCTTCCATTTTTCCAAAACTTCCTCCAGCATCTCTGTGACAAGGTCAGTTAATAATTAATTTACATTATCTTGCAAACTGCACTTTGAGTTAATATGTTTAAGACTGAGTTGTAAGTTAATTAAACATCAGAGCACAATTTATTATCATTATTCCTCGATTGAAAGCTGGATACTAAAAACAACTCAAAGCTTTACAATTCACAGTTTAAGAAAACTAAAATAAGAAAAATACCAAGTTAAAACAAATGACCAAATATTCAGTATTGTAACAGTTTGAAGAAGTTATATTTTTACTTGTAAATTATTTATTTTAAAACATTTTAAAGATGAAAATGTTACTGAAATGTCAAATAATCTATAGCTTTGTCATTTTAGCAAGACTGCAAGAATTCTGTGTAATATACCTGGATTATAAATTAGGTTGGGAATTGAAAAAGCATTATATTTGGTACACACTTTCTTCATAATAAAATATATTTTATGTCTGAAAAAAATTTCATAATTTCGTTTGGTATTTGTAAAATGTTTAGGATACAAGTTTTTAGAAATATTGTTGCAAAATGCAGCATTTAAAAACAATAAACAATACTTCCTTTCATCTTAGAATTTGTTTTTTTATTTTGTACCTAAAATCTTGTAAATATATCCAATAGTATTATTTTTAGATAAAACTATAATTTTTGTGTCTTGGTTCTAGTAACAGCACACTCACTTTGTCATTTGTTCATACAAGCACTGAGATACAGTACAAAGATCTACTGGAAAATATGAATGAAAGAAAATTGGATTTCACTACTTTTTTACAAGAAAGTACTTTTATATATCTAATAAGCTCTAACTTGTTTGACATTCATCAAATATTTATATTTACGTTTATCCACTGAAGCAGTATGTAGCTGAGAAAACAGCATAAAACTCTGTAGAAACACAACTTGCACTCATACCCTGGTGATATTTTTCCAATTATATTTTCAGCCAATCTCATTTTCTCTCTAATAATTAGCATTTATCTTAAATAACTAAAGAGTATTATACCTGTGTTATTCGAGTAAAAATACGCAACCTGGAATATAAAACATAAAAGGACTTGTGTCATCCAAATAGTTTGCCATTGCAGAACTCCTAGCTTACCATACTCACTAATCTTAAATATCCTTACCCGATATCTTCACATACAAGAATATTTCTGTAAGTTTCAAGCAGCCACAATACAACAACAAAAAGATTATCAAGAATAAAAAAAAAAAAACCATCAAAAGATGATATTACAAAATCCAGAGATTATGGCTTGTTTCTAAATGTTCTAACTTTCACATTTATGGGAACTTCCAAGAATCACTTAGTTTAATTTACATTGACAAAAATCTATTCTAATCAGTCATTTTTAGCCATTGGTTCTATCTGCTTTAAAAGCTAAGATTTTTTAGTTACAATTCAACCCACTTATTGTAACATCATAAACATCAGGCCATACAGGGTTGTAACCAACAGAAAAGAAAATCATGTGAGAAACAGAACACAAACAAGTCTATTTCCAAGGAACAACAGTTTCTGAATAAATAAAAACTTATACTCTGGGATGAGCAGAAAATTCTAATAAAGTTGATAGGTACCAAGTTCAGAGACAATACCTATCTCAACTGTGCAAAAATGAACTTGAAATTTTGTTTACACTTTTCTTTGCAAATTACACTAAATATTGGAAAATGATAAAATGTTAATTCTAAAACATTTTGTGGGAAAAAAATGTTAAAATTAGAATTACTATTTTTACTTATATTTTGAAATTTTTAAGCAAGTGTCCACCCAACACCAGAAAACTACTCATGGCTGTAAGAAAGTTATTTCCCATGTACCTGGATGGAACAAACTACTAACTATGTCTTGCTCCCCATCTGAAAAGATCAGCCTTAAAAACACAAAGCAACATATCATAATAAAGAAGAATATTTAATATTTGTTTCTTCAAGTAATTTTAGGCTGACCCCCACAAAACACCAATTTAAGGAATAGGATGAACGAGAGAGTGAACTGTCACAGGGAAGGTTGAGTATAATAAATGCTTCATACATACTCAGAAGTGGCATGAGAAAATGTATTCCTTCACACATGATTATTTCTCTATAGAAAGCATGAAATACAAGCTAAGGTACTTATAATATTTTGAGAAAAAAACATTCAACATGCTATAATGCTGAAGGTTACTAAATGATAGCGAAGGACACTTGTTTGAAATGACAAAATAATTAGAACATCTGACTCAGAAGAATGCCTAATTAATCTTGTAGTAACACTGTTATCTAGAAGTGAAAAATGCTTCAAGTGTGGATGTACTTGATATTTTGCAAGGGGGTAGTAAACAGTAGCAGTATAGTATAAAATACATTTACCATTCACCTCATAAACAGAAGAGCTAACATTGTAATCTTATGGATAACAGGTGCATTGAGACTGTGAATGAAAACAGTAATAAACAACATTACTCCAAACCCTAAGTGAAGTGTAGAAGGGCATCCTAAAGGCCATGACAGAACTGGGAGAAGTGGTAGTGGTTCAGCTGATGTGAAGATCAGTTAAAAACTAATTATCTGAAGCTATCAAGCTCAGGGAAAGATAATAACACAAGAGTTAAGGGATGCTAACATTGGATTATCATTATATGGGTGAAGAATGAAATAGTAAAAACATCTAAAAAATAGTAGTTACTAGGTTTTTCTGATTCAGTAGGAGTCGTGTAGTGTGACAGCATCCTGTATATAAAAGAAGTTTCCTTAATAAAACGTATATTTATCACATTTATAAAAAGAATCCAAAATGCTTTTTGAAATTTTTTTTAAAGGTACGGAAATGTTTACAAGAATGTCAGTACATTTTACAGAGAGATCTTATTTGTAAGTAGTCATTTATACAGTCATGCCAGTCTGTTTTCTTTACATTTGTCCAGCTGAACAATGGATAATAATGTCATAATGATCCCACACTTTTTCTTCTAGTTTTGTTATTCCTTAGAATTAGAATTATTATTTATGTAAACTATATCTTGCTTGGTGTTTTGGAAACTAACAGAGAATATGTACATATATGTATAAAGTGGATAATATAATGATAAATTTCCATTATTAGGACATAACAGCAACTCTCAAGAGCTGGTTTAACACTAATTGTCCCTGCTGAGTTCATTCCTCTCACAACACTATTTTTAGGTATTGCACCACTTTTCCACATATCGGTGACATTATACCTAGTAGACTTTGTGACATACCTTCTTCAGAGCTGTTACAAAGTTATGGAGATGATAAAATGGAGGGAACTAAGTACTTATAATGCTAATTGCAACAAAGGCCATTTGCATTTTCCTCTAATAAAAACAGTTAGTATACAAGACACCTTTTACAAGTTGGTGAAGCATGATTATAATTAATTATACTTATCATAAAACTTTATTATTAAGCCCATTATTATTATTGTATCACCCAGCTATACTGTGTACAAGTACCATTGTAGTGATAATGCAGGGATTGAAATATTACATTTCTGAGGAATTTAACTTTGCTTGTGGAATTTCATCATTTTAGTTGGCTTTTGTTATCGGGAGTGCATGGTTCCTTTACTTATGACCAATGAATGTGAACATATTGCATGGATTAAATAAAAAAAACAATTCATGAGGAAATGCAACTTTACATGAGGGAATGTAATCTTCCTGAAAGCTTTCCCTCGAGTGAATGTAATTTTATTTAATTATTTCTATCCCTATAATCCTGAGAGGGAGTGCATCATATTAAAGACTAAAGTAAAACAAGTTACAAATTAACTCTCTGATAATGGTAACACACTGTTTTTCAGGGAGTCAGGCTGTTATACAAATATCTGGTTACTATACTTTGAAATGTACAAGTAGAAAAGACTTCTTGTAGAGTGTGTTTTGAGTTTATATTTTTTACTTTTTCAACAGACATATGACTGGTGGAGAGTGGGGTACAGGTGCTGGAAAGGTAAGGAAATAAAATTAAGGTGATAAATAAAAAAAGTATGGTATTACAATAAATATAATATTTCTTATAGTGATAAAACCTCTTAAACTATATCTAAAATTTTTTAAACATTGTTTTGTGCATGCTTTTGTTTTAAGTTAAATTACGTTTGAGCAGCTGTTTGAATTTTATAAATTTCAATATAAAGTTTCCTTTTGAAATTTGGTTTTTGTTTTCTGTTAACTGTATAATGTATTCAAAATGGAGAGCCAAAAACAACATTTATTAATGAAACATGTTTGAAGCATATGCAGGTCTGTATGGTGACCGTGTTCGTGTATTAACTTCTAATGTTTGGTCATCTTGTGCTGAATTTAACTTTTTATATATCTATGTGTACTGTATTTTGCTTACAACTTCCATGATAAAAAAATAATTGTCTTTTACTTTTTCCAGGGTGGTGGAGCAGGTGGTGCTGTTAGGTAAATTTATTTCTCTTGTCCAAATTTTTGTTTTACAAGATTTACCTTTTATGTAATGTGGAATCATGTTTTTATTTCAAGGTGTGATATGTCAAGTATATACTAGTCATCTTTCTGTTCCTATAAAGCAACAAGATTTAGCTTTTTGTTATGTATTTTATGGTGAAAAGTTATTAAATGTGAATACATAAGTTTATAGTGATGACTGGAGAATAGAAACCATATCAGAAAAATACAATTGCAGTATACATGCAAAAATCTTGAACTTGAATAACTTTTTATATTAAGTGTTTCAAACCATAGTCTGTGCCATAATCTTGGACCTGAAAAACATATTTTTTGAGGTTATGATATTTTAAAAGTAGTTAACAACGAGAGTTTACCACATAAAAAATAATTTACACAATAACAATTGTTGTTGTAATACTACTGTGTTTGTTGTGTCATGGCCGATCTGATGAGCTCTGGATTGAGTGTACATAGTGTGGTTCGATTACTATTATTATACTCTTCTAACTCTTGAAAATCCCTAAGAAACTAGATAAAGAATGCAGTGTTGACAAAAGATGATGATAATAATAGGCCTGATGATAATTTCTTATGACAAGTGTAATTAATTA